AAAAAAAAAAAAAAAAAAAAGCCCCTTCTTCTACAATAACTTTTAGCTTTTTTATTTTTAGAAAATGACAAAGGTTTTACAAGCACTGACTGGTGAAACCTGTAGCAAGCTAGGCTGGACTTGGCTTTATTGATCAACTGTCCCGCATGGAAAAGCAGCCAGGAAAAGTTTGAATGGCGATCCAGATTTGGCTCATAGAGAGGAAACCCCCCGATTTTTCTAAATGTATTTTCTTTTCTCCCCCCCCCCAAATAAAACAGCATTATTCCCAGAGTGAATTCAGAAGGATTAGATGAGGTAACCCTGCAAAATCCTAAAGCGGTTTTCTCCCCCTAGTCTTGACTAAGAAGCTGCACGCTCTTAAGAGCATTGGAAAAATCTCTCAAAATGAAGGATTCCTTTCTGATCAAACAGATTTCACGATGAATGTCCAAATTTCTCCTAAAATAAATAAGCCATTTAGGCTGAGGCAAAAAAAAAAAAAATTTTTTTTTTTTCCTCTAGGAAAAATAAGTTTTAGTGCACGCGCTCTCTCTACCTGATGTTACAGGGCGCACCAAAAATGCCTTCAAAAACATAAATGTGGTTGCCACATCTGTTTGCAGATCACCTGAAGTGCAAATTGCATTTTATTTTATTCCAAGATATTGTGATTTCAAGGGTAACTAGTTCATATTTAGAACTTACATACACACTCTTGTCATTAAAAAAAAAAAAAAAATCTGCAGTAGCAGTAAAGCTAAAGCTAGGATTTGAAAGGAGGGGAGGAGAAGAGAGAGAGAGAGAAAGAGAGAGAGAGAGGAGAGGGAGAGAGGCTCTGTTCTCCCTGCGTTTGTTTGCTTGCTTTTTGGAGGTACCGTACACCCGCCTAAGTGATGGCTTTGATGTACTGGGAATCGGTACAGTAGCAGGGTCCCTGGCTGCTGCCTTTGATTCCAGGGATCTCCTTTGGGCTCTGGAGGGATGTACTGCTCCTAGTCTTTATCTGAAACCCATCCTCTCATTTCAAGCCCTTTGGCTTCCAGACTGCTCCAAACTCTTGGAGGTAGCTGTAAGACTTTTTTTTTTTTTTTGGCATTAGGGAAGGGGTATGTAATTTCCCCCTTTTCTCCACTCTAGACCTTTCCTCGCTCTTTAAATATATTGGCTTTCTTCCTTACGAATTTAGTCTGAAATTATTTTTCACTGCCTTTATTACATCCCTGCTTTTGATGGCAAAATAGCTTCCTGTGTTTTGAAAACATCTGCTTTCCAGGTTTTACACGAGAAAACTGATTTTACTTTTAAGTCCAGAAAGGTAGAAAGTTGGACTTGTTTCCAAGTGCAACTTTTCCTTTTCTTGTCTTTGAGTGACCCCCCTTTTCAATTCTGATTCACTTTCCCTTTTATTTTTTTCTAATCATCACTCCCCCTCGCCCCCTAAAGAACCAGAGAAGATTGATTTCGTCTTATTTCAGAAGACAAAATTAACCTATTATATATATTTTTGTCTAGTCGATGGTACGTGTTAAAGTTTCCTCCATATTTTATTTGTTCTCCGATTTGAGGGGAGGTAATTTTCCTCCTTTTAAAAGAAACCTCAGATTTGCAATTTAAAGTGGTCTCTATTCTAAGTCTCTGCTGCTTCTCGGCTCTTTCACTTAAATCTTTGCTTTAAGCTGTCCCATTCCATTATTGCCTCCCCCCCCCAGCCCTCTCTTTGAAGATGCTCTCTTCCTACTTAATTTAAACATTGCTGCCTTGGCCAAAAAGAAAAAAAAGAAAGAAAAGAAAGAAAGAAAAAGGGAAAAAGGAAAACAAGAAAGAAAAGAGAAAGAAAAAAAAGGAGGAAAAAAATCTTAAAAAAAAAAAAGTCTTAGCCAGGTTCCTATTGTTGCTTCTCTGCATTTCACTTCTCCGAGTGTGTGTGTGTGTGTGTGTGTGTGCCCTGTGTGTGTGTTTTTAATACATGCATAAACTTTTGGTGCCTCTCTCCCTCTTCCTGGGCTCTTCTCCCATCCTCTCTTCCTGCTCTCCTCGCCCTGTTCATCACTTTCCCCTGGTTTTTTTTTTTTTTTTCCTCCCTTCCTCCCCTCTGCCTCCCTCCACCTCCCCCTTTTCTTTTTTGCTGAATCTTATTGATCCAGAAGGTGGCTAATTAGCCCTTCCCGTCGTGCCTGGGTAATGAAGCACATGCGCACTGAATTAATCACAGCCATTTTTTGCAGGAAACTAATTAGCAGAATAAAGATCCAAAGACTTTTTTTTCTTTTCACTCATCAGCTCCCACTTCCAGCGCGTCCCCTCCGACCGCTGCAGCCGCCGCCGCCGCCGCCTCCTCCTCCTCCTCCTCCCGGCCGCAGCCG